CCCAGTGAGAGTCAGCACCTTCAGGAGAGGAGGGGGACCCTGTACCCCAGTGAGAGTCAGCACCTTCAGGAGAGAAGGGGATATGCAGCCAATGATAGAAGCCTCTACTCCTCCCTTTGAATGTCTTTGAGACAACTCACACTGTCTGATATTCTCCATAAGTTCCCAGTAACATGTTTTGATATACCATCTCACATTCCCTGAGACTCTGTGCTGAGCAGTGTGCTACCTCTCCATGGCTGAGGGTGCTGACCTTGGGATATGGATGTGCTGATGTTGAGGTGTATCTCTATCTGACCAAGTAGCCAGTGTGACCCAGGACAGTGAGCTCTGGCCCACTGCTCAACCAGCAGAGTGAATCCCTAACCTGCCCACACCCAAAGCCTCTGCGTCTGGCACTCTTCACCAGCACAATTGCTGAATGTTCTTTCCCCCTTGACCTGGCTCAGGAAGGTTAGGCCCTCAGGCCCCATTCTCCCTGGGAGCAGATGAGGGAATACAGTCCTGTGAAGGGTCTGGAAACTCATCACAACTTCCAGGACAGAGGGAGGCCATTCCACCCACTGTAGTTGTACTGGCTCTGAGAATTGGTGATCATGCTTCACGCCACACCTTGTTTCATTCTCAGCAGCTAAGTCAGTTACTCATCTCTCGAAGATCTGTCCAACTCCCTTTATTGGATCAGCTCCCACAGCTCCCAACTGTTCCAGGTACTGAAAACGTAAAGTGAAAAAAAAGCTCCCAAGATCTTCTTTAAATCATGCATTGGATGGATGTCTCACTGGTTAAACCAGTGTTGATTGCCCAGAGAGTGGTTGAGAAACAACTGTATTGCTGTGGGTCTGGAGTCACATGTAGGCCAGAGCAGGTAAGGGGTGGCATTTTCCTTCCCTAAAAGGCATTAGTGAATCATTGGGGTTTCTCCCCAACAATAGTTTCATGGTCATCATGAGACCCTGAACTTCAGATCTTTTTTGCTAATTAGATTCAGATCCTTCCACCTGCCATGTCTAACAGTCTAGTGATAAAAACAGAAGTTGCTGGAAAAGCTCAGCAGGTCTGGTTAACACTTCAGGTCCGATGACCCTTCCTCAGAACTGGGGAAGGGTTACAGTTCTGATGAAGGGTCACCAGACCTGAAACGTTTGATTTTTCCTTCACACATGCTGCCAGACCTGCTGAGCTTTTCCAGCAACTTCTGTTTTTGTTCCTGATTTGCAGCATCCGCAGTTCTTTCGGTTTTTATTTAGTCTAGTGACAATGCCCACTATGCCATTGCGTCTTTGAATAAAGGAAAGAAATGACAGGGCTTTGCAGAAAGCTGGGTGAGGAGAAGTCAAAGTAATTGGACTGCCTTTCAAAAAGCCAGTATTGGCATGCTGGAGTGTGGCTGGTTCTGTGTTGGCTCATTCTGTGTGTAGCAGAGGGCCGTCCCCTGGACTGCGTGGGGTTCATTTGTTTTGTTTGCTCCTTACTTATCAGACAGCTCCAACTTCAGGTCCACCACCTTGGTCTTCTCGTCTGCCATTTCAGCTTGGAACTTTGGATTCACACGATGCTGTTTGAAGAGGTACGCTGACTTCTCCCGAGGGGTCTGTATCAGTGACGAAAGGACCGGCGAGCGTTGGTTCAGGATGGTGTTTATTGGAGGTCTCCTTGGCTGAAGGCGCCTGAGCAACAAGAAAATAATGACAAGAAACGGTGGAAAAGATCTCACTCCTTAATGATTTATTTGAAAACACAAGCTTTCGGAGCCTCAGTCCTTCTTCAGCTGTTAGTGAGAGAGGTAGTATCAGACACAGAACTTACAAGTAAAAGATCAAAGGTTCACACCATTGATGAGGATGTACTAAACAAACCTAAGATGCTGTTAAACCTTTATTCAGTTAGAAGGTTTTAATTGATTAATATGTATATGTAAATTCCCAAATTCCTTTTAAGTCATTGTCCTGAGAGAACTAAAGGTTTTATCAGTGTAAAGAAGAGGTGATATTTTAGGTCAGACAATGCATGTTAGGTGTGAGGCCTTGTTTAGAATCTGTTTGTGTTTTAGTTCGATTGCCAGTTCCAACATGCCACAGCGAAAAATCATAATGACCTCCTCAGAAGACGGGATACATCCGATAGTGTCCCCTTCATCATCCAGTACTTCTCGGGAGTGGAGAAACTACGCCATGTTCTTTGCAGCTTTCGACACATTATCGATGACAATCTCACCAAGATCTTCCCTACGCCTCCATTTCTCACCCTCAAACAACCACCAAACCTTAAACAGACCATTGTTCGCAGCAAACTTCAGGACAACATCGACCACAACACTGTACAACGCTATCATGGTAACCTGTGCAAGACATGTCAGATCATCGACATGGACACTACCATCACACGTGGGAATACCACCCACCACATACACGGCAGATACTCATGTGACTTGGCCAACGTTGTCCATCTCATACGCTGCAGGCAAGGGTGCCCCGAGGCATGGTATATTGGTGAGACCATGCGGACGCTACGACAGCGGATGAATGGACACCGCATAATAATGGCCAGATAGGGATGTTCCCTCCCAGTGGGGGCACACTTCAGCGGTCAAGGACATTTCGCCTTTGGATCTTCAGGTAATTGTCCTCCGAACACAACAACGCAGAGTCGCTGAGCAGAGGCTGATAGCCATGTTCAAACCATGAGGGCGGCCTCAACCGGGATCTTGGGTTCACGTCGCACTACACACACACACACACACACACACACACACAGACACACACAGACACACACCAACACACACACACACACACACACACCGACACACACACCGACACACACACACACTCACACACACACACAAACACACACACACAAACACACTCACACACACACACACACCGACACACACACACACACACACACAC